AACAACCTCTATACAACGAAAGGAGACTGCGACCACACAAAATGCCACACCATCTTGGTCTTCATACCTTTATTCGCAATGTTGGTTTGAGATGAGTAGGCTTCACTTATCGCATTGTGCGCAGATTCACTATCAGTCCTTCATCACTTTAGGCAATCTAAGGTGACGTAAGCTCTTATTCAAGAAATTCTGCTAATTCCGAACATTCACTAAAAATGAATGCAAGTAATGCTATAGGCAACGTATCTTTGGCAATGCCAACATTTAACATTCGTTTCTGCTCTCTGACACCGACTGGGAATCGTGGCCGTTCGGTGTGGCGTTATCATCTCGAGTTACTACGCAGCTCTGCTCGGATTTGATTTCCGTTGGGATGCTGATAAGAGCCAGGCAAGGTGGAAATTACAGTCAACCTTGGTTAAGAATACTTTTTGGGAAGCAAGGCTAAGTGAAATTGAGTGTAAATGTGAGGCTCATTCATACGTTTTTTGTGGGAAAAATCAATTAACATTCCTTTATCAACTAAAGCGAAATAAGGTGAATACATGTAGTATGAAAGCACTACTGGTAGTCTCGTAAAACTACTTATTAATAAAATCTTTTCGCCTTATTGTCGGTCATAATCTGTCGCCAGTTCTATCAATGACATCTTGGCAGGTCAGTCTTACCGTTAAGCACCACAGTTGATGGCTTCCTTCTACGGTAGGTGATAATGACAATGGCTCCGATCAAGAAAAGCAACACGACCGTGGCCACCAAGAGGCAAGTGGCTGCCGTCCAGAAGACACCGTTGGCTGCGATTGTTCGCTTCAGCATCGGTTGTCCCGCTCCCGCAGCCTCGAAGCCCAACATGCCCTCATGGATCGTCCGAGTTCTGCTCAGTACATCATTGCCGGACATTGTGAGGGGTCGACCGAAGCTGGCGCTAGGGGAGCCCGACATATCGCCAGAGCTGAAGGGGACCCCTCCGAGGAGGGCAGACGGGACGGCAGTATTGGTCGAAGAGAACTGTAGATTTCGGAGGTTGGTAATGGCATCATAGTCAAGAGTCTGAAAAAAAGAAAGAAAGTTACCCTCAACCTCGTGACTTTAGAAATGTAGCATAATGCAAAGATGATTCCAAAGTGAATTAAAACGTTCCTCTATCCTGAGCAATAGATGCCCACTGACCTTAGCATTATAACTTAAGGCCAAATCAGACATACTTCCCCGAAATGGTCTTCTTTTTGATTTCTTTTTCTCACTTTACTCAGATTTCAGCTTTGGCCAGTTTACCCACATTACGATGTTGTCAACAAGTCGTGAATGAGAATTTGGGACACTCTCGGTCGCTTATACTGAAATCACACAGAAATTGTGAGGTCTTAAGGTTTCATTGTAGAAAATTCCTCTATGAC